AGTCCCATCAGACTCAACCATCATCAACTTCACCCCCTTCTTCTTCCACTCCTGAGGACTCTTCTTCTTCTTTGAGTCATTCCCTGAGGTGGGTTGAGCATTGCCTAGCGTGGCCTCTAAGTCTAAAGCTTTCCTAGACAATGTCTCAAATGAGTGGTACTCAGTGCGTGCCTCACTGGCTAGGAAGTTCCTCATGTTCTCAGGTGAACACCTAACAAACGTGGTTGAAAGGAACTGGTCACTGTAGTTGATGCCTGGGACGAGGATCAGGCTCTCGACGGTAGTCGTAAGCTCCCTAAGCTCCCTAACTCACCTGAACTTGCGTTGGTCAAGTTTGTTAATGGCATCAGTGGCCCTTTGAGCCTCTTGTGGGTTATGCCATCGAGCTTCTACCATCTCCATGAATTGGTCTAAAGTCAATGACTTAGCCCAATCCGCCATGCGTCTCCTGTACCCGGCCTTCACAACTACACCATCTAACCACTTGGTTGCCTTACCCTCAAGGTAAGACGCCGCAGTTACCACTTCGTCCTCAGGCAAGGTCCTTTTGGCCTTCACCCAAACCGGGACCGTCCTCAACCATGTGTTGAGTTCCTCGTCCTTTCTCTCGCCTGAGAAGGCAAGAGGCGGTTTCATTGGGGTCTTTGGATACCATTGGCCTTGCGGCTGTCCAGGTTTCTGAACAGGTTGTTGTGGTGATGCAGCAATCACCACTGGACTCGAAGAAGAAGATGCAACAGTCAGTGCGGCTGTTGCAGACGTACCACTTGGTTGTGTGTCAACTTGTACGGCAAAGGGACCTGACATCGCCGTTAACGACAACGACAATTGTGCTGGTGGCCGGAATCCTGGCTTTGTCAATGCATCCAGGATCTGGTCCAAAGTGCTTTGCATGAAGTCCATCCTGCTGTCTACGTGCGCATGCAGTGACAACATGTTGTCCCTCAACACTTTCAGGGTGTCAGACAAACTCGATTCGTCCAATCCCTCTAACGCAGCCTTGTCAACCTCTAACGTATCAAGTCTGGCCGCTCTACTTTTTATCTCCTTTTCTCTATCGGTTGCTTTCTTCAGATCCTCCTCTAACTGCTGGCGGAGTCTTTCGACCTGTTGGATCTCTCTGAGCTCCCGCTCACGTGCGGTCATGGGGCTGAACTGCGAGCCTACCATTTGACTAGAAGACTGTCTAGACCCTGTTGAACCGGAAGTGCCCGAGGAACTCGTGGAACTCGTTGGCATTCCCAACTGAGTCCCACTATTCCCTGACGAGGACGCAGACGATGACGCAGCAGAGCTGGTACCGTTAGCCATTGCTGTTGCTCTGGCTGTTGTTGCCCGCTCTCTTGCTACTCTGTTTGCTTCTTGTAGTCCTGCTGCTAGAGCACGGGCTCTACGTTCGGCACGAAGCCGTCTTTCTTCTCCCTCGTCCAAGGTCCTGAACATGTGCGGAACCCTTAGTGCATCTACACCTGTAAGTCTTCTATTGTCTGCTCTATCATCAACAGGATCTGATCCACTCATTAGTTAGGCAGATAGTTTCTGCACTAGAATCCCCTAGTGGAATCCTACCACAACATGTATCTGACCGGCACCTAATTTTCTAACAATAGTTGTGTCCGGCGAGTATCCTACTATACCGAATCAAGTGGCATGTCTACAACATTCACACAGATTGTCTACATAGTCTAGATGCACCCTGATT